TGTTACCAATAATGTTAATAGGGCCATCCCACACCCAACAGATACACTATTTGTCCTGAAGGATGTAGACACTCCTCTAGATGATGGAGTTCAGGTGTCTCCAGTGAAGGGTACTGTTAATACTCCATCATGCAAAGACATTGTAGACATTTGTGCTCCTCCAACCTTGTGATAGCAGTTGGAAAAAGAACCCTTTGTGTTCCACCATGCCTGCACCCCGTGTTCAAAACCAGCTCTATAAATACAAGACTTGACCAGTTTGGTGTGGAGTAACCCAAGTGTCCTGCACAGAGCCTTGACCTCAACTCTACTGAATACCTCTGGGATGAATTGGAACATCCATGGTGAGCCAGGTCTTCTCATCCAACATAAGTACTTGACTTCAACCCTATTGAACACCTTTGGAATGAATTGGATCACCAATTGTGAGCCAGGTCTTATCATCCAATATCAGTCCTGTCTTTGGAGGTTCACAATTGAAAAACTCTCCCAACAATGTTAATAGGGCCATCCCACACCCAACAGATACACTATTTGTCCCAAAGGATGTAGACACGCCTCTAAAAGATGGAATTCGGGTCTCCAGTGAAGGGTAATGTTAATATGACATCATGCAAAGCCATTGTAGACATTTGTGGTCCTCCAACCTTGTGGTAACAGTTTGGTGAAGACCCTTTTCTGTTCCACCATGACTGTCCCCTGTGTAGAAAGCCAGCTCCATAAACACATGGTTTGACCAGTTTGGTGTGGAGGAACTCGAGTGTCCTGCACAGAGCCTTGACCAGGTCTTCTCATCCAACATCAGTTTTGTCTTTTGAGGTTCAGGATTAAAAAAAATTACCAATAATGTTAATAGGACCATCCCACACCCAACAGATACACTATTTGTCCTGAAGGATGCAGACACTCCTCTATACGATGGAGTTCAGATGTCTCCAGTGAAGGGTCTTGTTACTACTCCATCATACAAAGACATTGTAGATCATTTTCCTCTTCCAACCTTGTGATAGCAGTTTGGTGAAGACCCTTTTCTGTTCCACCATGACTGTGCTCCTGTGTGCAAAGCCAGCTCCATAAACACATGGTTTGACCAGTTTGGTTTGGAGGAACTCAAGTGTCCTGCACAGAAGCCTGACCTCAACCCTACTGAACGCCTTTGGGATGAATTGGAACGTCAGTTGTGAGCCAGGTCTTCTCATCCAACATCTGTCCTGTCCTTTCAGGTTCATGACTAAAAAAAAAACTGCACCATTAATGGCAACTCTGAATGTAAAGCACAAATCTAGGAGTCCAAGAAATAGTCCTTAAACTCCAAACTGATACATGATATGGTCACTGTGTATGGACACCACTCCATATTATCGAGCTCAGGTGTCTCCGGAGAAGGGTATTGTTGCTATGTAGTTACTGATACTCCATCATCCAAAGACATTGTAGACAATTGAGCTCTGCCAACCTTGTGGTAACAGATTGGTGAAGACCAAACATTTTGTATGGCTCAAAACGCGCCGCATCCGCACCAAAAAGGTACAGGACCCTTTTTTTGGTCCGCACTAGAATGGGTTTGCATGGGTAGTCACATCTATGCGATCCGACTCTGCACATCGCACCGCGTTTTGCAAACCGATTTCGGGGTGTTGGTAATTTAACATACACACCCGCAGCGGTTCGTGTGAATGGGGTGCGATTGTGATGCGGTGCGGAATTCGCACAGAAACCGCTACGAATTCCGCACCGCATCAGCGTGAACCGGGGCTAAGGGCCCCTTTACCAATCAGTGCTACCTCAACTGACTGCTGGGGCCCAGGATCCGAACTTCGAACATCAAAGGGCCACATGTGGCCCTCGGGCAGTAGGTTGGACACCAGAGACATAGACGCTCATAATACCTCACCTCCCGGTGGCAGAAATACCACCGATTTGAAAAGGTAATATCATTTACGTGGGCTGAACACGAAGTATAAAAGGAAACACATTGCTACAAATAAATCTCGGAGAAGTCAATGTGTATCATTGGAAAAACAGTGAAAAAAAAAAAAAAGTGAGAGTAGCAATTTGTTCTGCCAAAATTCGACGTGCCAAGATGACCTAATTCCAGAGCTCGATAACGTTCCGCTCCCGTCCTTTGTCCCTCCGGTCCCAATAAACCGCGATAAATGACATAACTGGACACCAACGCGTCTTTAACAACATTTGGATCCCAGATTGGGGCAACTGGAGCGGAAAATGAATTATATTGGCAGTTTGCTCTTCCAAACGCTGGCAGCGCCCGCCTTCCATTGGTCAAGAAAGGTCATGTGACTAGGTAGGGCTTTCTCTAAGAGCTGGCGGGAGTCCTGGTCCACCCTGTATGGTGGCGGGATCCTGGAACGGTTTCATTTTTTTAATAGAATATGTTTTTGCATGAGTTCCTCCGTAGAACATTCCGGTACTGGGGAGATGCACAATCCTAAGGGAAGGGAGGGGAATTAAAGCCAAAACTTTCTTTTATATGTTTTGGATTCAGTAGATAAGGGTTAGAACCCCTGCACGGTTTTTATTGTTGTCTGTGCCCCCCTGGGGCCCCACATGGAAGAAAAATATATTTTAAAAAATACTCTTCCCAAATATATTGACATATATTTGAAATGCTACAATTTTGGCAATACTCAATATATATATATATATATATATATATATAAAATAAATAAATAAATAAATAAATATATATATATATATATATATATATAAATGTAGATTTGTAAAAATTTGTTTATATAAATATATATATATATATATATATATATATATATATATATATAAAAAAAAAATATATATATATATATATATATATATATATATATAAATAAATAAATAAATAAATATATATATATATATATATATATATATAAAATGAAAAAATAAATATATATAAATGTATTAAAAAAAATAAATATATATATATATATATATATATATATATATAAAAAAAAAAATATATATATAAAAAATATATATATACTGTATGTTGAAATGTATTCTTGTTACAAAGTATATGAAAAATATTTTTAAAAATACATTTCAAATATGCTGTGTGTCTTTAAAAATACAAATCTACATTTTTGGAATGCATTTACAAATATGTGTAAAAATACACGTTAATATGACTTTTTTAATATAAAATCTGAAGAATATATTTTAAAAAAATATATTTTTATAAATATCAGATTTTTTTTAACATATAAAAAAAGTAATTTTAACATGATGAGAAAGCAGTGATGGTTTGGCCCCCGCAGAGCCCTGATCTCACCATCATGGAGTCTGTCTGGGATGACATGAAGAGACAGAAGGATTGGAGGCGGCCGACATCCACAGATCTGGGCTTAGTTCTCCGAGATGTACAGAGAACAACCGACCTGCCGAGCTCCTTCACTGGGTGCAAGTCCACCTAGAAGAAGGTAAAGGGGCGGTCACACAAAATATTGATTGGATTTGGATTTCTCTTCTGTTTGATTACTTTCCATTTGACTAAATAATCAAAATGAACACTTCGATTTCTGAAAGCATCCTTCATTTACAGCATTTTTTTTTTCACACCTGCCTAAGACTTTTGCACAGTACTGTACTCCATATCCAGTATCTCCCAGAAGTGAGCCCCTCCCCCTCACATTTGTGTCAGTCTTTGATTCTCTCTTTTCATGTGACAACACTGAAGAAATGACACTTTGCTACAATGTGACGTAGTCAGTGTACAGATTGTATAACATGGAAATTTGCTGTCCCCTCAAAATAACTCAACACACCGCCATTAATGTCTAAACCGCCGGCAACAAAAGTGACTCCACCCCTAAGTGACAAGGTCCAAATTGGGCCCAAAGTGTCAATATTTTGTGTGGCCGCCATTATTTCCCAGCATTGCCTTAAACCTCTTGGGCATGGAGGTCACCAGAGCTTCACAGGTTGCCACTGGAGTCCTCTTCCACTCCTCCATGACGTCATCACGGAGCTGGTGGATGTCAGAGACCTTGTGCTCCTCCACCTTCCGTCTTCCACTCCTTCATGAGGACATCACAGAGCTGCTGGATGTTAGAGACCTTGTGCTCCTCCACCTTCCGTCTTCCACTCCTTCATGATGACATCACAGAGCTGCTGGATGTTAGAGACCTTGTGCTCCTCCACCTTCCGTCTTCCACTCCTCCATGACGTCATCACGGAGCTGGTGGATGTTAGAGACCTTGCGCTCCTCCACCTTCCGTCTTCCACTCCTCCATGACGACATCACGGAGCTGGTGGATGTTAGAGACCTTGCGCTCCTCCACCTTTTGTTTGAGGACGCCCCACAGATGCTCAATAGGGTTCAGGTCTGGAGACATGCTCGTTATGTTGGAATATTGCCCTGCAGCCCAGTCTCCGAAGGGAGGGGATCATGGTCTGCTTCAGTATGTCACAGTACATGTTGGCCTTCATGGTTCCCTCAATGATCTGTAGCTCCCCCAGTGCCGGCAGCACTCATGCAGCCTCAGACCATGACACTCCCACCACCATGGGGCCCCAGACCATGACACTCCCACCACCATGCGGCCCCAGACCATGACACTCCCACCACCATGCGGCCCCAGACCATGACACTCCCACCACCATGGGGCCCCAGACCATGACACTCCCACCACCATGCGGCCCCAGACCATGACACTCCCACCACCATGGGGCCCCAGACCATGACACTCCCACCACCATGCGGCCCCAGACCATGACACTCCCACCACCATGCGGCCCCAGACCATGACACTCCCACCACCATGCTTGACTGTAGGCAAGACACACTTGTCTTTGTACTCCTCACCTGGTTGCCGCACACACACGCCTGACACCACCTGAACCCAATCAGTTGATGTTGGTGACATCAAACACAGGAGACGGTTCCAGTAATCCAGGTCCTTAGTCTGCTTGTCTTCAGCAAACTGTTTGCGGGTTTCTTGGTCATCATCGTTAGAAGAGGCTTCCTTCTGGGATGACAGCCATGCAGACCAATGTGATGCAGTGTGCGGCGTATGGTCTGAGCCCTGACAGGCTGACCCCCCCACCCCTTCACCCTCTGCAGCAATGCTGGCAGCACTCATACTTCTATTTCCCAAAGACAACCTCTGGATATGACGCTGAGCACGTGCACTCAACTTCTCTCAGCTTCTTTGGTGGACCATGGCGAGGCCTGTTCTGAGTGGAACCGGTCCTGTTACACTGCTGTATGGTCTTGGCCACCGTGCTGCAGCTCAGTTTCAGGGTCTTGGCAATCTTATAGCCTCGGCCATCTTTATGTGGAGCAACAATTCTTTTTTTCAGATCCTCAGAGAGTTCTTGGCCATGAGGTGCCATGCTGAACTTCCAGTGACCAGTATGAGAGAGTGAGAGCGATAACACCAAATGTAACCCCCCCGCTCCCCATTCACACCTGAGACCTTGTAACACCAACGAGTCACATGACACCGGGGAGGGAAAATGGCTGATTGGGCGCAATTTGGACCTTGTCACTTAGGGGTGGAGTCACTTTTGTTGCCGGCGGTTTAGACATTAATGGCGGTGTGTTGAGTTATTTTGAGGGGACAGCAAATTTCCCATGTTATACAATCTGTACACTGACTACGTCACATTGTAGCAACGTGTCATTTCTTCAGCGTTGTCACATGAAAAGATAGAATCAAATATTGACACAAATGTGGGGGGGGGGGGGGGGGGACAATGTATATCATTTTTTGCAGCACAATTCTTCCATAAAAGCCCCAGCATTGTGATTGGGTTCTTTCTTCCTCTTGTATGTGTCCCGCGCCCCGGGGAGGGAGCGCTCCGTCCTGTCTGAGTGCGATTGAATCTGCAAACACGGCGATGTCAGGTACCCGGTGAGGTCCCCTCGGAATGTGAGAGGTGTTGCTCGAAACCCAATGAAGCGCGCTCAAGAGTGACAGCTTCCTCTCCCCACCCAGAGACAGACCTCGGTGTCACCTGGTTCACCTGCTGCGCTCAGATCACAGGCCTTGCACTTTAGCTGACTGCACTTGTAAGGGGGGGAAAGGCATGTGGCGGGGTCACCGCTCGTGGCAGAGCCGAGTGCCAGAACAAGTTGGGAGAGGCACAAACAAGCCGTGCTTTTAAAGACACGTATCAGTGCAACTATGTAATCATTAATACGTTGTTACATTTATTTATTTTGTTTAAATGCGAGAAGTGTAAGTGACTAAACGTGACCTGCTATCCGCCTCTGTACAGCAGGGCTGCAGTGTGAGAGGCAGAAGCAGCACAAGAAGCCTATCAGGCGCTTGGTTTGATCTGAGTATATGTAAGTCCAGCAGGCTTTTGTTCAGAGCCTTGAAATGGGCTGCAGCCTCTAGTCACATGTTTCTGTAGACTGCAAGCACCCTGGTTCACACCGATCTGCATTTGCAGTATGATGGCGTTCCCTCGAAATGCGTAGGCCTAGATGCATGTTTACCACCTTCCCTATAGCAGATTGATGGCCGGGCGGGACACTCGCCCGTTGTGATTGGGCGCCATATGACGTCCTGTCAAAATGAGCCGCTTACAGGGCCACGCACCTCTGATGTGAAGGGAGAACTCTGATGTGATGGGGGACCTCTGATATGATGGGGGGACCTCTGATGTGATGGGGGACCTCTGATATGATGGGGGGGACCTCTGATGTAATGGGGGGAACTCTGATGTGATGGGGGGACCTCTGATATGATGGGGGGGACCTCTGATGTGATGGGGGACCTCTGATATGATGAGGGGGGGACCTCTGATGTAATGGGGGGAACTCTGATGTGATGGGGGGACCTCTGATATGATGGGGGGGACCTCTGATGTGATGGGGGAACTCTGATGTGATGGGGGGACCTCTGATGTGATGGGGGGACCTCTGATATGATGGGGGGGGACCTCTGATGTGATGGGGGACCTCTGATATGATGGGGGGGACCTTTGATGTAAAGGGAAGACTCTGATGTGATGAGGGACCTCTGATGTGATGGGGGGACCTCTGACATGATGGGGGTGGACCTCTGATATGATGGGGGGGCCTCTGATGTGATGGGGGGACCTCTGATATGATAGGGGGGGACCTCTGATGTGAAGGGAAGAATCTGATGTGATGAGGGACCTCTGATATGATGGGGGGGGCCTCTGATGTAATGGGGGACTCTGATATGATGGGGGGGGCCTCTGATGTGATGGGGGGGACCTCTGATATGATGTAATGGGGGGGCTTCTGGTGTGATGGGGGGACTCTGATATGATGGGGGGGCCTCTGATGTGATGGGGGGGACTCTGATATGATGAGGGGGGCCTCTGATGTGATGGGGGGGCCTCTGATGTGATGGGGGACTCTGATATTATGGGGGGCCTCTGATGTGATGGGGGACTCTGATATGATGGGGGGGACCTCTGATGTGATGGGGGACTCTGATATGATGGGGGGGGGCCTCTGCTGTAATGGGAGACTCTGATATGATGGGGGGACCTCTGATGTGATGGGGGGACTCTGATATGATGGGGGGGACCTCTGATGTGATGGGGGACTCTGATATGATGGGGGGGGCCTCTGATGTAATGGGAGACTCTGATATGATGGGGGGGACCTCTGATGTGATGGGGGACTCTGATATGATGGGGGGGCCTCTGATGTGATGGGGGACTCTGATGTGATGGGGGACTCTGATGTGATGGGAGACTCTGATATGATGGGGGGCCTCTGATGTGAAGTTGTGTGCCCCGCCCCAGGCTCAGGTTTCCCATTAATAAATGACATTTCGGGGCTCCTCAGGATTTTCCGCCAAAAAAAAAAAAAGATACAAAAGTCTCGGGATGAGACACATTTGGCCGCACATTTTACACCTTTTCATGACGTCTTCTTGTCGCTCCGCCATGACGTCGCTGCGTGCGGATTTCCCGCTCTGGAGGCGGGGGCCCCGAATGTATTTCCTGGGCTCCTGCGGCGGCCGGATTGCGTCCGTTCACGACTCGAGCGCCGACAGTTTCGGTTGGTTATTTGCGTTCTTTCCTCCGTACAAAATGTAAAAAAAAAATTGTCTCCGGATAAACGTTCCGTCAGTCGGTTTGTCTGCACGTCTCGATATTCGCCGCGACTGTCGGCGCGCACACGGCGCTCATCTCGTATTTCATGCTGCGCCGCGAGCGCAATCAACCATCGTCCGCTCATCATTCCGAAACCGCTTTTTTTTTTTTCTCATCCTTCATTTGCGTGGCGCGGCAGAGCGTCACAAAACGTGTTCATTGCGCTCTCCACACGACGGACGGCGTTTTCTCGGCGGGGCGCGGCCTGCTGCGCGTTCTCTCGGGTGTTGGGAAGATGTCAGAGGTTCCCGAGCGCGGCGGGCGATTAACGAGGGCGGTTTGGCAGCTTCGCTCGGCGTTCCCGTCGATCTATTAGCATCGCTCTGCATACATGCCAATCCCGGCTCATTCTCATGCAAATCTCCCCGAATGGCAGCGTTGCGTCCTGGACAACCCAGCCATGGCGTGCCGAAGGTTCTCACGCTGGAGGAGCCAATGCCGTCCCTCGGCTGGAGGAGCGCGCTGCCGTCCTGCTTGACCTCATTGTGGAGTGCTGCTAGGCGGGAACGCATTCATGGCCGCCGTACATCGCCGAAAGCAGCCGCAGCGACCGTTCATCAGAATAAATGATGGTGTCACCCTCACTGTGCAATCAAACATCGGGGGGGGGGCTTAAAGGGGAGATACACCCAAAACCAAAAGTGTCATATATTGCAGCTGGAGGCTGCATTCGTTTTTTCTTTTTTTAGGCTTTTTCCCCGTCTGTTTTCACCCGGCGATCTGACCAGTAACTCACCTGCTGTATTAGAGAGCCCCCACTCTGGAGGAAGGAGCACAGGGGGCACCTTTGGAGAGCAGCATTGTCAGTCTGGTGGGGGGGGGATGTGGCTCTTTTCTTGCCTTCATACAGCTCTTGAAGTACAATTCCCTCCTGACACCAATGATGGGGCACTATTCCTCCCACTGACACCAATGATGGGGCACTATTCCTAACACTGACACCAATGATGGGGCACTATTCCCCCCACTGACACCAATGATGGCGCACTATTCCTCCCACTGACACCAATGATGGGGCACTATTCTTCCCACTGACACCAATGATGGCGCACTATTCCTCCCACTGATACCAATGATGGGGCACTATTCCTCGCATTGACACCAATGATGGGGCACTGTTCCTCCCACTGACACCAATGATGGGACACTATTCCCCCCACTGATACCAATGATGGGGCACTATTCCCCCCACTGACACCAATGATGGGGCACTATTCCTCCCACTGACACCAATGATGGGGCACTATTCCTCCCACTGACACCAATGATGGGGCACTATTCCTCCCACTGACACCAATGATGGGGCACTATTCCTCCCACTGACACCAATGATGGGGCACTATTCCTCCCACTGACACCAATGATGGGGCACTATTCCTCCCACTGACACCAATGATGGGGCACTATTCCTCCCACTGACACCAATGATGGGGCACTATTCCTCCCACTGACACCAATGATGGGGCACTATTCCTCCCACTGACACCAATGATGGGGCACTATTCCTCCCACTGACACCAATGATGGGGCACTATTCCTCCCACTGACACCAATGATGGGACACTATTCCCCCCACTGATACCAATGATGGGGCACTATTCCCCCCACTGACACCAATGATGGGGCACTATTCCTTCCACTGACACCAATGATGGGGCACTATTCCTCCCACTGACACCAATGATGCGTTTTGCCCCTCCCACAGCTCTGCTCTCTCCCTGCACGGAGTGACTAGTCTTGTCTCCGCCCACTCCTGTAGTTTTCTGTAGTGGGTGGAGCCTTCTGGGCCCCTCCCACAGCTTTGCTCTCTCCCTGTGCAGGGGGGGGGGGGGGGACTGTCAAGGGACTGTCCCTGATTTGGAACAAAGTCCCTCTGCCCCTCTTTCGATTTCCAGGGACTGTCCTTGATTTTGAGGGGCTCTCCCTGATTTTGAAGGACTGTCCCTGGTTTGGAACAAAGTCCCACTGCCCCTCTTTCGATTTCGAGGGACTGTCCTTGATTTCGAGGGCTGTCCCTGATTTCGAGGGGCTGTCCCTGATTTCGAGGGACTGTCCCTGATTTGGAACAAAGTCCCTCTGTCCCTCTTTCCTCCTCATTTTGCTCTGATCTCTATAGTTGTATATAAAATTCACTTTTTATCTTTCAAAGCTTTCCATCCAATTCCTAGATTGCTGCGTTTGTCAATTTCAATAGCTAATATAAAGGAATTGTGATAGTAAAAAACAAACACTTGTGGGTTTAACTATTTTTTTTTAAATATTTCTCCTTTAAGGGGGCGTGACAGGGGGCGTGTCCTACACCTACATACCTTTGTGAAAAGGTGTCCCTCGTTCCCATCTGAATA